CACTGAATTGTACAGCTCCTGTTTCTACAAAAGTTTCCATATCTATATCGATCAAAGAGTTTATAAAGAAATTTATAATAGAAGTTGATGTAAGTGTATATTTATTTTACTCGAGGATGTTCACAAAACTCATCATTTGTTTTTTATTTTCAATAGGTTCTAACAAAAACATATTTGTCGAATGAGAGAACAATTTCGTGCTGCTAAAGCAGCTAAAGAACAAGCAAAAGAGAATACACAAGTAGCAACCATTCAAATAGATTGGAGCGAGAATTACAACTTGAAACAAGCAAGAGAAGAAAAAGGTATCCAAATAAATGATGTTTCTATTTAACTACCTCAGTATCTAGCTCATTCAGTGAACATCGAATCTTGTTTTTCATTTTTAGGAGCGTATTATTATGAACAACATATTTCTATTCAATCGGGATTTGTATGGCTGAACAAAAATGCCTTCAGTTTTGCTAGTATTAGCGATGACACCTGCCACATGGCAGAAGCAGCGTGGGCTGCTATTCAAGATTTATTGAAAGATTTAATCGATAAAAATAATATAAACATTATCAATTTTATATCAGATTCGCCAGTTTCTCAATATCGGAACAAGACGATGATATTCTTGATGAAAAAACTTGCCACTGATCGTCATATTGATATTAAATGGATTTTTCTAGAATCAGGCCATGGGAAGGGTGTTGCAGATGCTGTGGGAGCTACAGTTAAACGAAAGTTCGATGAAACTGTAGCATTTAATCCTGATAACACATTTGAAAATGCATTAAGTCTGATCAATGTTATAAAAACAAATACGGATATTAAATTATTTTTATATGATACAACAAATATTGCAAGTTTAAGAAAAATCATTCCAAATCTCAGAACAGTAAAAGGTACTGCATCATTTCATGAAATGTTTGCAACTAAAGATGGGAAATTCTACGCCAAAACAGTGTCAAATGAACAAGAAAAACTTGTACAACTTAAATTTTAACGCATTACAAAAATTCGAATGATTTTTGTTTCATTATGTAAAATTTGATGATACGATTTATGAAAAAGTGTAAATGGACGATTAGAACATACATAGCTTTACTTTTATTTTGTTTTTAATTTTTTTATAACTCCTTTTCTTAGTGTTACGTGTGCAAATACACTCAATGTCGATAGAAAATACATGTAAACCA